GAAGAGAACTCTCCGCCTCTGTCAGAGTGCAGACGCAGAACAGGAAAGTCCGAGCCGAAGCTCTTCCTGAGCTGGAGACGAGCCTCGCGGATCCAGTCGATCAGCACCTCAGTGACCGCACCCTTGCTGCGCAAGGGGAGGACTGTGGTATAACGCGAGTAGTCGTCAACCACTAACAGGAAGTAGCGTTCGTAACCCTGCCCACGGACGGGGGCTGGGCCCCACACATCCATGTGAAGCGTCTGCAGAGGAGCCTCTGTCGGGGGGAAGTGGGAGGAGTGAGGAGCAGCCCGGAGGCGACCCTCGACACAGGGGACACAGGAAGGTCCTGGCCCGGAGGGGAGAGGAGGGAGAGACTGGGGAAGACCAGAGACAAGGACACGGGAAGCCATGCTCCGAAGACGGGGCAAGGAGGGGTGACCAAGACGGTGGTGCCACAGGAGAGTCTCGTGAGACAGGAGGCGACAAGAACAGGGGGCAGACTCAGGACCTGACCGGGAAGCAGCAGCAAACACCTGACCTGACGCAGCTACCCGACCAGACGCAGGGACAGGAGGAGACGAAGTGGTCAGGGTGTAGAGACTCGACCCCGGCCGACGCGAGAACGTGGCCAGGTGTCGGCCTGTGTCTGCGTCCGTGCAGTGGGTCACCCGTCGCCTCGCAGGAGTGAACTGGTGAACCCCCGCATCCTGTAGGTCCGCACCACTCACCAAGTTCGTAGAGAACGAGGGAAGGTACAGACCAGACAGGGTGCCCGAAGGGGCAGCCGGACACGGGAGGACAGTGGAGAAGTGAGACAGGACAGGACCCCCAGAGGGGTCAGCAAGGGAGACCGCAACCGGCCGGCCAAGAGGCGTAAGGGTAGTGCGGTCTCGAAAGAAGGAGCGAGAAGCCCCAGAGTCAAGTGTGAAAGTGAGGGAGGACGAGGGCGACGCAGTACCTGAGAGCGCAGTCTCACCAGCACCTGAGAGCGCAGTCTCACTAGTACCTGAGAGCGCAGACGCACTGGCACCTAGAGCAGCAGCCTCACAAGTACCTAGCGCAGCAGTACCAATGCCCGGGTCGGGCTGGAAACACCGGTAACCCTCATTCTCCTCACTATAAGTCACAGCATACATAGCAGAAAGGATAGCATCAAAATCAAGATCAAAGATCGCTACACCAGCCCTAAGGAGCTCATCCCAGCGAGGGATCTCACTAGCCCCGGGGAACTGCTGACGCCAAGCGTCCGTGAGGCGGCCAAAGCAGCGCTGGGTGGAGTGGGCACCCCCACACTGCTCACCCGCGCGGTCGCCGGAACGAAGAATGTAGGCGCAGGGACCAGTACCCCCACCCCTCTGACGCGCAGCGTACCACTCACGAAGCTGCTGAGGCGGAGGGATGTCCCGCGAACGCTGCTGCTGCTGCCGCTGCGAGCGCTGGGCACCACCACCGCCGCTCCGCTGCTGGGTACCACCACGACCAGCTCCACCTCCTCCACCACCACCGCCTCCTCCGCCGCCGCCTCCACTGCCTCCACCTCCACCGCCTCCGCTCCCGCTGCTGCCTCCACCACCACCGCTGGCACTACCACTACCGTCTCCGCCGCTGCTGCCACCACCACCACCACCACCACCACTACTCCCGCCGCCACCCCCACTCCCTCCGCCGCCTCCGCCGCCACCGCCACCGCCCCCTCCAGCTCCGCCCGCGCCCTTGCCCCCCTTGCCCTTGCTAGAGCGACGTCTCCCACTAGGGGCAGACGCCGCGCCGACCGACTCAAGACCAAGCAGGTCGGCCGCAGCAGCAGAGGCAACAGAGGGCAGCAAGGGGGAAGGAGAGCACCCCTCAAAGATGGGGGTGCGAGGGTCACCACGAGAGGCACCTACAGCGACTATGCTCTTCTCCGCTGCGAGGAGGGCCTTCTCGAGGAGGTCGACGGTGAGAGTGGTGGGACAGACTGCGAGAAAGTGGTCCCTGACTACGCGGAGGGAGTCAGGGAGGCGCGCGACTACGTAGTAGAGAGTGATGTACATGGGGGGGGGGTTCTTAGCGCAGAACTCAGCAGGAAGGGCGGCGCGGTAGCGAGTGTCACTAGTGCGGAGGTGCGTAATGAGGTCAGTGACAGTGGGAAAGACAGAGAGGTCAGGAAAGAGGTAGGGAAGCATGAGACGGCTCAGTGCAGCAGTGGCAGGGGAGGAGTAGCGCGCAACTACAGCGTCGTACAAGGTCTGAGCACTCTTGTACTGACTAAAGTGCGCACGCTCAGAGGTAGGGAGGTGGCGACGCACAGCAAGACGTGCAGCAGCATCGCGGGTGGCCCACTGAGAGCGGACAGTGGGATCAGCATCGGCAGCAGGAGCAGGAGAGGCGCCAGAGGTGAGGTCAAAGAGAGAAAGGCTGTCAGCTCTGTCGCACTGTAAGAAAAGCTGCAGGTCGTCTAGCCAGACCTCAAAATCAATGGCTCGACCCTCGGCGTCAAAGGCTAGGACACTAGGGGTGGCCATGATGACGACAGCGAAGCAGTGTAAGCAGTAGGGAAAGAGGGCGCAGTGACAGAGGGACTGTGCTCACCAGGCAGGGCAAGTCGTGCAGCTCAGCAGAAAGGCGGATCGACTCCCGGGCAGCTCGGCAGCTGTGGGGCGGCTCGGGTGCTGCTGGGCGGCTCGGCCGCTGCTGGGCGGGCCGGCTGCAGTGCAGCGGCGGGGCCTGGACAGAGGCCGGCGGGGCCGGGACAGGTGCAGTGGCGGGCCGGGAAAGGTGCAGCGGCGGGCCGGGACAGGTGCAGCGGTGGGCCGGGACAGGTGCAGTGGCGGGCCGGGACAGGGGACGGCGGGGCCGGGTGTGCAGTGGCGGGGCCGTCAGGGTGCAGCGGCGGGCCGTCAGCAGGTACAGCGGCGGGCCGTCAGGGTGCAGCGGCGGGCCGTCAAAAGGTGCAGCGGCGGGCCGTCAGCAGGTACAGCGGCGGGCCGTCAGGGTGCAGCGGCGGGCCGTCAAAAGGTGCAGCGGCGGGCCGTCAAAAGGTGCAGCGGCAGGCCGTCAGGGCTCAGCGGCGGGCCGGGAAGGTGCAGCGGCGAGGCCGGGAGAGGGGACGGCGGGGCCGTGACAGGAAACGGCGGGGCCGGCAGAATGCAGCGGCGGGCCGTCAAAAAAGGGACGGCGGGGCCGTAAAAAAAAAACGGGGCCCGCGGCCGCGACGAAGCGGCCGCGTGGCCGATTCGAGGGCGGCGGGGCACAGCCGGGCCGAGAGGGCGGCGCGGCGCGGCCGTAAAGCCCGCGCGACGTGGGCCCGAGCCGCGCGCGCTAAAAAAAAAAATTTTCGCGCGCTACTCGCGGGGGGGCCCACAAAGGCAGCGGGAAATGCACTAAGGGGGGAGGGGGGGGAGCGCGCCTCGGGGAGAGTAGGGCGCTCCGGGCAGAGAGAATATCGTGGGTGGGCCCAAAAAAAATCGGTCCTTAAGAGGGACCCGCTCTATACCATGTGAAGATAGGAAAACAGGAATGAATGAACTATGAATGAAAGTAGTACAAATATGAAACCCTAACTGGGTTGTACCCCCTATGGGATACCCCACTACAGCCTACACAGCAGTATAAGCTATAGATATGTTCTGACAGTACCCACTTCATTCATAGTTAATTCATTCTCGTTTCAGTTTTCTCAGAACAATCACATTTACGCATTGGAGTGATGGCGTACTGGTTGGGAACTCGTCTTGATATTCGCGGTGGGCGCAACAGGTGTACGGTTACGATTGTTCTGCGCATATTGAGCGAATGAATATGGCGATGAGATGGATGGATGGTTACTAGATGTGCGAGAGGACGATTTGAAGGCAAGTGTACGGGGTAGATCGCGGATGTGAGCGTGACGTGGCAGCTTGGTGTCAGAGACTATGTATGCTGATGGACGGTGCGGATGGAGTCGCCATCTTGTAGCGTGTGTAAAACGACTGGGTGGCGAGAGGTATGGCGAAGTAAACGAAATGTTGGCGTTGCGACATTTGTACGGCGGGTGTGCAATGTTGGTTAGGGTGGATATGCATAATGCGCCCTCCGATTGATGCCACTTGGAAAAATGCTAGTGGGTCCCATACCCGTGATTTGCGACGTGCGAACCGGTGAGGTGCTTCCAAGTGTCGCGTATGTATAGGCTAAGTGATGGGGAGATGGACGGAGAAGATACGAGTGCGATGTGTCAGCGATCACGAGCGAGGTGGTGCTCGCGAAGGAGTAACATAATGTGCGAGTTGCTGACAGAGCGACACGTGAACCATCGAGATTGCATGAACAAACGGTATATCTAACGGATGGGGTGCCGGTACGTTTTGGTGGGTGTACGCTTACGTGGACAATCGGGTTGATACTGGATGCCACGTCGGTTGTCGCGTACGGGTGGCAGTTGGGGTTGCGTAGTTGTATAGGTTGGATAAACTTTCTTGTGGTTGGATAGGTTAGGTTAGATAAACTTTCTTGTGGTGCAGACAGTTACGTTTTAGCAACGTCAAGGTAGCGGGTGTAGTATCTGATTTTATACACGCATGTGTACAGAATGCAGCGGAATGGTGACTGGGTAGTTGGTTTGTCAGTTACTGTCGGTATGCAGTTCAAAAACCTTGACTTGTAAGTGCCGGGCAAAAATTATCGAGGTGGCTTTCCGAACTTCCCATTTTCGAGATGTCACAGGTTCTCTCTACCACTAGTAAAAACTCGACCTCCCTTGATCTCGCTCAAAAAATCCGTACAACAACGCCCGGCATTAGTACTAGCAATACAAGGCACAGTAGTGCGCGAGTCGTTGCCCAAGTAGGGACTATATACTACTACTAGTGATATTTCCGTTTTGCAATCGTACACTCTAAATCTTATCCGCACAGTTAGTCTTTCCAGATTCTCACTCAACATATGGCGCCATTCCTCTCGCGCCCACGTAGGGACTAAACACTTCTAGTGCCATTTCCGCCTCTCCAATCGCACACTCTCATTCTAATCCGCACATTTCCAGATTCTCACACAACATCATGGCCTCATTCCCTCGCGCCCTCCCATTCTTCCTCCCCGTCCCCTCACGCCTCGCCCTCAACGCCCTCCTCGCGCTCATCGCGCTCCTCCGCCAGGCGAAAGCCACCTACACCGATCCGCTGATCCCCGACGGGTGCGTCGCGGAGATAGCGGAGGTGGACTGGGAGGCCATGCGCGCGGTGTACGCGGCGCTGCTCGAGGGGATGTTCTTTTGGCACGACGGCATACCGCAGTACAAGATGTTCGACGACACCCACAACGTCTCCTACTGTTGCGTCGCGCCTAAGCTCGCTGGTGTCTCGTGTCGCCTCTGGTGCCCGCTCGAGTGCACGCCCGCCGGCCGCATCACGCGCATCTTCTCCGATCCGAGCCGCTGGGACATGCCCGGCGGGCCTGGCGGGAGGGGGGGGAGCTGTCCGCCCGGCGCGCTGTCGCCCGCCATTGGCGATCTCACGGAGCTCTCCTCGCTGGTCTTTCGCCATTCGTGCCTCGCCGGCGACTTGTCGGGCTCCGTCACGCGCCTCCAGAAGCTGACGATATATGAAATGCCCGAAAACAAGGTGGTGGAGATCGCGTGTGTTGGAAGCAAGGTGGTGGTGGGGCGTTTGTACGCCCCCGAGTGAGCTGCAGGTTCACGAAGTGTGTGGGTTGACTTCGGAAGACCCACTCGATTCGGCGCCACATGGCAGCACCAGGGACATTCCAGATTGAAGTGGCATTCGGTTCGGTGAAATTCGAGTGTCGAATTTCACCCCTTCGAAATGTTACTCGAAGATTCGCGAGTGTACCGCAATTCGAGGTTACTTGTGCGACTCGATGTTGATAGATGCTATAAATCTGTTTGCTTTGTATTGCCTGTTCAAAACTGAAAACGCGAATCACTTTGTACACAGTGCATTCGAGCACAAATTCCAGAGAGCTTCTATACTTGCATTCAAGAGCACCACCCAACACGTGAACGCATAAATCTCGGCGGGTACTTAGGCGATCGACGTGTGTGACAGCTCATTGGAAAGCTAAGACAGAGCTATATTGCTTAGAACATTTCCCAGTTCCTGCAACGTAGAGGAAAGTCCTCTACAACACTCCTTGCTGGTCTTCCGCCATTCGTGCCTCGCCGGCGACTTGCCGGACTCCGTCACACGCCTCCAGAAGCTGACGATATTTGAAATGCCCGAAAACAACTTTTCCGGGCCCATTCCGCCAGGCCTTTTCTGCCTGCCCGCGCTCCGCCACGTGGATCTCAACACGATTAGTCCCTACCCGTAATTTCTATTTCAAAATGAAGGTCTTTCAGGGTCGCTTCCCGACGGGCCCGACGCGTACTCCCCGTCGCTGGAAACGGCAATCCTGTATGGCAATGCGCTCTCGAGGGAGCTTCCGCGCGCCCTTCTTCACGCGCCCGCGCTGAGTCAGTTGGACCTGCAGAGCAACAACATTCCGGGGGAATGTTGAACAAGAATGAATGAACTAACAGTGAAACGAGTACAAGTACGAAAACCTAGAAATGTGTACCCCCTATAGGCTAACCCACTGTAGCCTAAACAACTACAACAACATATATAATGTTTGACACACCCCCATAGGCGAAGCGGGGGAGAACTAGGGGTCACAAGACCAGTCAAGTAAAGCAAAGCAAAGCAAAGCAAGCTCAGGGTGGATCAGTACGTCACCACACAATCCGAGCACAAGTTCAAGGCCACAAGGCTAGTTCAGATGCAGGAGTACATATATAGATAAGACTGAACAAGCAAGAGCAGTAGTATATACATGTAACAGTATAAAGAGGGTCAAGAGGAGAGCAAGTGAGGCAAGACAGACACAAGACCCAGCTGGGTACAGCAGCGCTGATGATCACAAGGCGGAAGTGCCTTGGTGAAGACATCAGCAGTGTTGGCCTCAGAGGCCACGTACGCAAGTCGCAACTGACCACGCTGCTGTAGCTCACGAGCAAGGAAGTAGCGGAGAGCAATGTGCTTTGTTCTGTGCTCCAGTCTCTGCTCTCGACACAAGGCCAGCATGGCCTTGTTGTCGACGTACAGGACTGGAGGAGAACCAGGCGGCTCTCCAAGGTCGGTCAGCAGGTAGGTGAGCCAGCGAAGCTCCTGAGCAGCCATGGCCCCTGCGTAGATCTCAGCCTCACAACTGGAGCCGAGAACCGAAGACGAGCGAGTAGCCCGCCACGAAACAGAGCCGGAACCAAGACTGAAGGTGTAACCCAGTGATGACCGCTGCGTAGCTTGGTCGTCAGCCCAAGAAGCGTCTGCGTGTCCAGTGAGGACCACTGGACACCGCCCTCCAAGCACTAGTCCCATGCCCGACGTACTGCACAAGTAGCGCAATACCCTCTTCGCTGCAGCCATGTGCTCTGGTCGGTGTCTCCCAGGAGCAACATAGCGTGAAAGAATGCTAAGAGGGTAAGCAAGGTCAGGTCGTGTGCATGTCATCAGGTACATGAGACAGCCAACTAGCTCTGGATATGGGCCACTCGACTCTACGGACTCATCCGAAGGCAGAGCTGAGAGCGAGTGGCGAGTAGACAGAGGAGTGGCCTGAGGCGAGGAGTACGTGAAGCCGAAGCGCTGAAGGACCTGCTGCACCATGTGTGACTGAGTCAAGGTAATGGTGCGGCGTGCTCTGTCCCGGGTGATCTGCAAGCCAAGGTAGCTACGCAGTTCACCCAGGTCAGTGCACGTGTGTCTCTTCTGCAGCTCGGACTTCACATAGGCGAGTCCAGTAGTGTCAGCTGTGGCAAAGACCAAGTCGTCGACGTACATGAGGATGTCGAACGGCGGCAGAGAGGTGTCGGTGCGCAGAAACAACGACAGGTCGGCTGTAGAAGGAGCGAACCCAAGAGCCGCAAGTGTAGTCCTCAGTGTGTCGTGCCACTCACGTGGCGCCTGGCGGAGACCGTAGACTGGACGCTGGAGACTCTACTGGGTACCACGAGGGAAAGACCCAGTGAAGCCAGGTGGGCGGCGCAGCCAGATCTCCTCGTGCAGGCTGCCCTCCAAGAAAGCAGTGCTGAAGTCGAGAGAGTGCAGCTCGTAGTCACGGTGAGCAGCAACGTGCAGCAGTACCCGAAGAGTGGTCATCTTCAGGGTGGGAGAGAAGGTCTGAAAGTAGTCAACTCCCTGCCGCTGACTGAAGCCACGAGCCACGTAACGCGCCTTGAAGACAGGCGGAGAACCAGGGGGCCGCTTCACCCTGAAGATCCACATGCCACTGACGATGTTCGCCCCAAGAGGGGGAACAGCGTCAACGTAGGTGCCTGTGGACTTCCAGGAAGCCATCTCTTCATCCATAGCTGCTTGCCACTGAGAGGAGTAGGGACCCTCTATCGCCTCCGCGTAAGAGCGCGGAGTCGGGATGTCAAATGCATCCGGGTCTCCCTCAGGGGTAAGCAGTACGGACACGAGATGAGGTGAAGCAGCGGCCAGACACTGGACATCCTCCTGCCTGTCCTCAAGGACGTCCGTGCCAAGGGCACACTCACCCCCGACGGACGGAGGACAGACAGACTCAGACTCAGCGACAAGACTAGCAGCGTAGTCTAGACGTCAGCGAGCAGCAAAGTTGAAGAGCTCATTAACAAGGGCAGACGCAGCAGTAGACTCGAAAGAAGTGTCAGTGACGATAGTAGCAAGGAGACGCGTGACAGTAGGACTGACAGCACGGAGAGAGTCCGACTCCGGGTCGGCAAGAACAGGAAGAGAGGACTCAGGAGGTGAAGGCAAAGGGGCACGCAGAGGAGCAGTAGACGGACGCAGAAACATCCGGTGCGTGCCAGGGACAGGAGGAGGACGCTGACGCGAAGTACGAGCACTAGCACTAGCAGGACTGACAGGCGACATAGGACGAGACGCTGACTCACGACGCTCAGTAAGACCGCCAGTAGGACCAGTGTCAGGAGAAGGAGCACGCAGTGGGGAGGCCGGCTGCAACTGTAACTGTGACTGGATAGGCCGTGAACATGCTAAGGGAGGAGGACCAGGAGGAGGCGAGAGACCAAGAACCTGCTGAAGGAGCGGAACGAAGTACGGCTGAGGGCGCGCGGCGACTCCAGACACTGTAGGGACAGGACCAGTACCCCCAGCGGCAGTACCAGAACCAGCAGCAGCTCCAACGCCAATGTCCTCAGTACCAGCCTCAGCACCAACGCCCGAGTCCGCAGCACCAGTAGGGACTCCATCACCAGGGTCCACAGCACCAGCCGCAGCTCCAACGCCCGGGTCCTCAGCACCAGTAGCACCTCCAACTCCCGGGTCCACAGCACCAGCAGCAGCTCCAACACCAAGGTCCACAGCTCGAGCCGCACCTCCAACGCTCGGGTCCTCAGCACCAGCAGCAGCCGGGTCCGTGAGACGAGGCGCACCACTCTGAAGTGTGCAACGGCGCTCGTACCACTCACGGATCCGCTCACGAGAGGGGAGCTCCCGATTAGGAGGAGAAGTACCAGCACCAGTCCCTGTAGTGCGCCTGGTCCCAGAGGTACCTCTCCGGAGGCTGCAGTACTGTAAGTACCACTCACGCAACTGCTCCGAGTAGAGGTCTCGGCCAGGTGAAGTACCCTCAGTACCCCAGAGTCAGAACTCTCAGACCCAGCACCCCCAGGCTCAGCACCCCCAGGCACCGCACCCCCAGGCTCAGCACCCCCAGGCTCAGAACCCCCAGTCTCTGCACCCCCACGCTCAGTACCCTCAGAGTCCGCACCCCCAGGCTCAGCACCCCCAGAGTCCGCACCCCCAGGCTCAGCACCCCCAGAGTCCGCACCCCCAGGCTCAGCACCCCCAGAGTCCGCACCCCCAGGCTCAACACCCCCAGCAGGACGAGAGTCGACAGCAACCTCAACAGGCTCGACCAGGTCAAACTGAGACACACCTGAGGGAGCGGCACCCTGAGGGGGGAGGGGGTCTACGACAGCAGCACCTGGCGGGCGGTAGTAGGGGACAGACTTGTCAAAAGTGACGTCCTGAGAGGGCAAGACCCGGCGCGAGGTGGCGTGGTAAAACTGCCAACCAGGCGCGTCCGGAACAAAGCCGAGGAAGACGTAGGGAACAACACGAGAGGAGAGCTTGTCCGCAGACGAATCGCGGACAAAAGCTCGAGATCCCCAGACCCGGAAACGCGACGCATCGCCAACCTCCCCCGTCCACAGCTGTGTGGGCGAGGTCTCTGGCAAGGAGACACGGGGCCAGAGGTTGAGCTGATGCGCAGCGTACCGGACCGCAAACGGCCACAGAAAGTGGGGGGCAGCCGCATGGATCAAGGATGTACGAGCGACCTCCATGACCAGGCCAATGCGGCGCTCCGCAACCCCATTCTGCTGTGGAGAGGCCGGAAGCGTGAACGACTGCTCAATGCCGTGCTCAGCACAGTAGGCTGCCAAGAGGTCGGAGGAGAACTCACCACCTCTGTCAGAGTGCAAGCGCAGGACAGGAAAGTCTGAGCGCAAACGCTCGCTGAGCTGGAGACGAGCTCTGCGGATCCAAGGGATCAAAACATCAGGGACCTCACCCTTGGTGCGCAAGGGGAAGACCGTGGTGTAGCGCGAGTAGTCGTCAACAACGATCAGGAAGTACCTCTCCTGACCCTGACCACGGACGCGGGCTGGGCCCCACACGTCCATGTGGAGCGTCTGCAAAGGAGCAGTCGTCGGGGGAAACGAGGAGGAGTGAGGAGCGGCGCGCTGCCGCCCCTTGACACAGGGAAGACAGGGAGGAGCAGGCGAGGGTGGGAGGGGAGGGAGGACCCTGGGAAGACCAGAGACAAGGTACCGGGAGTGCATGGCACGAAGGCGCTGCACAGACGGGTGGCCTAGTCGGTGGTGCCAGAGGACAGTCTCATGCGCTAGAGAGCGACACGAGCAGGGGGCGGACAGCTGATCTGACGCGGACGCTGACGCAGCGACCTGAGGGGGGGCAGTAGTCAGTGTGTACAGGTCCGACCCCTGCTGCTGGGTGAAGGTAGCCAAGTGGCGGCTTGTACGGGCACACGTGCAGTGTGTGACACGCTCGTAGGCAGGGGTGAACTGGTGAACACCCGCATCTTGGAGTGCACAACCTGCCACCAAGTTCCTAGAGAACGAGGGGAGGTGGAGACCTGACAGTGTGCCCGACGGGACCGCAGGACAAAGAAGGACAGTGGAGGAGGTCGCAAGGACCGGACCCCCAGAGGGGTCAGCGAGGGAGACAGCTACTGGCCGAGCAAGGGGCTCAAGGGCAGTGCGGTCACGAAAGAAACAGCGAGAGGCACCTGAATCCAGCGTGAAGGTGTGCAGTGTTCCAGTCGACACAGTACTAGGGGGGGCAGACGTACAAGCACCTAGAGCAGCAGCCTCACCAGCACCTGGGGTAGCAGACACGCGAGTACCTGGAGCAGCAGACGCACTAGTCCTAATGCCCGGGTCGGGCGGGACACTCAGGTACTCAGCACCCTCTCCACAAGTAGACATCACATACATGGCAGTGAGAATAGCATCAAAGTCTAGAGCATAGATATCAATCCCCTTCTTCAGGAGATCAATCCAGCGGGGCAGCTCAGTGGCCTGAGGGAACTGAACACGCCAAGCATAGTTCAGACGAGCGAAACAACGCTGTGTGGCGTGCGGTCCCCCACACGGCTGGCCAGTGCGGTCACCAGTGCGAATGACGTACGTGCAGCTAAGGCCACCCCCCCCCCCCCCCCCCCCCCCCCCAAGCTGAGAGTACCACTCACGGACCTCCTGGGGCGACGGAGTGTGCTGCTGGCCCTGGCCACCGCCAGTGCCTCCACGACCACCACCGCGGCTACCACCTCCTCGACCACCCCAACCCCGGCCGCTGCCTCGTCCACCGCCACCCCCACCACCTCCTCCGCCCCGGCCACCTCCCCCGCCGCTGCCGCCACCCCCCCCCACTGCTGCCACCTCCCCCACCCGCGCCACCCCCCCCGCCACCACCACCTCCCCCACCACTGCCTCCCCCGCTGTCACCACCACCGCCCTTGCCCCCCTTGCCCTTGCCGCTGCGGCGCCCACTCGAAGCAGACGCACTCCCGACCTTCTCAGCACCAAGGAGGTTGACAGCAGCAGCAGAGGCGACAGAGGGAAGAAGGGGGGAGGGAGAACACCCCTCAAAGAACGAGGTACGGGGGTCACCGCGAGAGGCACCTACATTGACTATGCTAGCCTCAGCTGCAAGGAGTTCCTTCTCGAGGAGGGCAATGGTGAGCTCGGTGGGGCAGCGAGCTAGGAAGTGGTCCCTGACTGAGCGCAGAGTGTCAGGGAGGCGCGTGACTAGGTGGTAGAGAGTGAGCCAGAGCGGGGGTGGGTTCTTGGCAAGGAACTCATCAGGCATAGCGGTGCGGAAGCGAGCCTCACTAGTGCGGAGGTGGGTAATGAGATCAGCGATAGTGTGGAAGGAAGCTAAGTCGGGGAACAGGTAGGGAAGAGAGAAACGGCCTAGAGCGGCAGAAGCCGGTGAGGAGTAGCGGGCAACAACAGCAGTGTACAGTGCCTGTGGAGTCTTGTGCTGCCCAAAGTGCTCGCGCTCATCTATCGGCAGAGAGTTGCGAATAGCGAAGCGAGCATGGGCGTCACGAGTCTGCCACTGTGAGCGGGCAGTGCTGTCAGCAGTAGCAGCAGGAGCAGTAGCGTGGCCTAAGGCGTGATCGTACAGCGAGATGTCTTCCTTGGCAGTGAGCTGTAGGAAGAGGTGTAGGTCATCAAGCCAGGTGTCGAACTTCACTGGGCGGGCATCAGCATCGAAGGCTAGCACAGGAGGGCTAGCCATGGTAGCAGCAGTAGGAAAAACAGTAGGAGCAGTAGGGTAGGTAGGGAGGCGCGGCTCGGCACAGGTAGGGCGGCGCGGCTCGGTATAGGTAGGGCGGCGCGGCTCGGGTCGGGCGGCGCGGCTCGGTTCGGGCAGCTCGGGTCGGGCGGCGCGGCTCGGTCGGGCGGCTCGGTTCGGGTGGCTCGGGTCGGTTAGGGCTGGCGGCTCGGGTCGGGCAGCTCGGTAGGGGCCGTTCGGGGCCGCTAAGGGCGAGCGCGGGGAGCGGGTGGGGCTGTGAGGGACGAGCGCGGGGCCGACGTGGGCGCTAAGGGCGAGCGCGGGGCCTAGTGGGGCCGTGAGGGACGAGCGTGGGGCCGATCGAGGCCGATCAGGGCCGGAAGGGACGAGCGCGGGGCCGACGAGGCCGTAAGGGACGAGCGCGGGGCCGACAGGGCCGTAAGGGACGAGCGCGGGGCCGATCAGGGCCGTAAGGGACGAGCGCGGGGCCGACGTGGGCCTCTAAGGGCTAGCGCGGGGCCTATCGGGGCCGTGAGGGACGAGCGCGGGGCCGATCGGGGCCGGAAGGGACGAGCGCGGGGCCAACGCGGGCCTCTAGGGGTAAGCGCGGGGCCGTTTTGAGGCCGTTAAGGATGAGCGCGGGGCCGACACGGGCCTCTAGGGGCTAGAGCGCTGGGCCGACGGGGCCTCTAGGGGCGTGAAAGCCGAGGCGCCCTAGGGCGTAGGTAGGTTGGTAGGTAGGTAGGTGGTGGGCACTAAAAAAAAAATCGGTCCTAGGAAGGACCAGCTCTATACCATGTTGTACAAGAATGAATGAACTAACAGTGAATGTTTGACAGGGAACTCTCGGGGGAGCCGGGCGCGTATTTGCGGAGCATTACCACGCTCATCCTGCGCAACAACAGCCTGTCCGGCGCCATTTGGCCCGCGCTGGCGGAGATGACGGCGCTGCGGAAACTCAACCTGGGGGGGAACCGTCTGTCCAGCGCGGTGCTCGCGGCACTGCTCGAATCGGAGTCGCTCAAGGCTCTCGACGAAGTGTGACAAAATTAGAAGAAAGAAAGAGGGCTTGACTAGCAAGAATGGGGATACAAATAGCAAACCCTAACAGGGTTGTACTCGCTATAGAGCACCCCACTACAGGCTAGATAAGAACATAAGATAACATTCTGACACACCCCCATAGCCAAAGTGGGGTGTAATCAGCAGAGCAGGCAAAGCAGTACAAGCTCAGGGTGGATCACAATGTCACCACACAATCTGAGCACAAGTTCAAGAAGCAATAGTTTAAAGCTAAGAATTATGAGCAAAGCTAGAGGCTATCGCAGAGGGCAAGTGAGGAGGAGGAGGCGAGAGTGAGAGGAAAGGAGATAGGAGGCGACGGATGAAGCTGCAGACACACGGGCAACAGGAGGCAGACTGGCACAGTGGCTACCGGACGAAGCCCCCGGACTACAGGGGTAACTGGCCCCGCGGCTAAAGTAGCGGCAGACGAGCAACGGACCCACGGGCGGCTGGCACAGCTGGCTACGACTGAGCTACCGGACGAAGCCCCCGGACTACAGGTGCTGCTAGCGACACAGCGGCATCCTTCATTCAGCTCCCCAAACAGTCTCACCCCCCCTTGCACACACCCCCTACTGCACCCCTAGGGTCACTCACACCCCACCCCCTAGCACGACTCCAGCGACTCCCACACACCCACCCCCCTCAGCGGCAGCTGCAGAAGTGGGAGACAGAGGAGGAGGAGGAGCAGGGGAGACCACACACCCGCCACCCCCATACTCGCCACCCCCTACTCGCCACTCCCCAAACCCTAACTCAGGCAGGGCGGGATGGCGGGTAGGGAGGTTACGGGGGGGGGGGGGGGAACCAACGCGCGGCCGCCCAGGGCGCCAAGACTGGCAGCAGAAGGGGGGGGGGCGGCGCTCGCCCCCCTCCCCCAGGTAAGTCGGCCCCCGAGGGAGCCGCGACGGGCGACGGGAAAAGGGGGGGGGGGGGGGGGGGCGCACGCGGGGCCGGGGTCGGGACTGGCGGCGCACGGGCGGTGTGGGGCCGAGACAGCGGCGCACGGGCGGCGACGGGCCGGGGCTGGCGGCGCACGGGCGGCGACGGGCCGGAGCAGCTGCGCGGGGCCGGGACGGGCTGTGCACGGGCAGCGACGGGCCGGGGCAGCGGCGCACGGGCGTCGACGAGCCGGGGCAGCGGCGCACGGGCGTTGACGGGCCGGAGCAGCTGCGCGAGGCCGGGACGGGCGGCGACGGGCCGGGGCAGCGGCGCACGGGCGTCGACGAGCCGGGGCAGCGGCGCACGGGCGTCGACGGGCCGGCGCGCGGGTCCCCGTCGCCCGTTGCAGCGCCTCCCGAGGGCGACGCGCCGAGCGACGAGGCAGAAGCCCGCCGTGCACCCCGCCGCGCGCCTCGGGGCGCACGGTGGGCAGAAAACCGCCGCGCGCCTCGGGGCGCACGGAGGGAAGAAAAACTTCCGCATGCCACGGGGCGTGCGGCACAGAGAGTAGCAGTGGAAGTTGCAGCGGAAGCAACGAGGTGGTCGTAACCCACCCACAGGATCAATCCAAGGGGATCGGCGTGCTCTGATAGCATGACAAAATTAGAAGAACTAAAGAGGGCTTGACTAGCAAGAATGGGGATACAAATAGCAAACCCTAACAGGGTTGTACTCGCTATAGAGCACCCCACTACAGGTTAGATAAGAACATAAGATAACATTCTGACAAAGTGCAGTTCGACAACAACGCACTCACTGGGCCGTTCTGCAACGCGCTGCTGCCCGCGCGCGAGCTTTGGCTGGGCTTCAACGACCTGGGCGGCGCGACTGCCGGGAGCAGCGCCAACGCAACCGGCGGTGGCGACGGGGGCGGGGGAGGTGAGGAGGAGGAAGGGGGGGGCTCTCTGTACGGCTGCATGCTGCCCACGAAGCTAAAGATTCTCAGCGCGCCGTATGCGGGGCTGCGGGGGAGCGTTCCGCCCGACCTATTCCTCGCGACGAACGCGCGGTCGGGGCGCAAGCCATCTGTGGGCGGCTTGGGTAGGATAATCTGGATCGACCTGAGCTACAACAACCTCTCGGGCAGCCTGAAGGCTTTGACGGTGCTTCCGACTGGGGTCTTGGACCTGTCGCATAACAACTTCTCGGGCGGTATTCCCGAGGCGTTTTTCAGCGGCGGCTTCTCGCTCGCGGACCTGCGGTTTAACGAGCTGTCGGGGCCGCTGTTTGACACGCGCCGGGAGGATTGGAGTTACGACTGGGATAGGCTGCGCGTGAGCGACAACAGCGCGCGCATGGCGGGCACCGTGGGCGCGTGTTACATCCCCGTGCCGGCGCCTGGCGTGCAGGTCTCCGCTACGGAGACTGAGGCACTGCTGGAGGTGCACGATGCGCTCCTGGGGAAAGCAGCGGGGGGAACGGAGTTTGCGGACGGCGGAAGCAGCTTATGGGGGGAGATTCTGCGCAGTTGGGACGCGAGCAGCAGCAGCGCGTGTGGGTGGTATGGCGTGGGGTGCACATCAGACGGACACGTGGACACATTGCACCTGCTGGGCAATGCTCATGTCACCCTGCACCCCAACTTCGTCCCAGAATCGCCCGATTGCGAACACACCCAGTGTGGCGACAAGATATTCGCGGACGCGGATCGGCGGCCTCCCCCCCAAGTGCAGTTCTTCCTGGAGGGCCTCCCTGGCGGCAGCTCGAACAGCCGTTCGAGTGCGGACGGGAGTCTGTCGGAGGCGGTGGGGCAGCTGACGCACCTCACCTCTTTACGCATCTCCGAGCACGCCCTCTCCGGCGGCCTGCCGCTGTCCCTCTCGCGCCTCTCTCACCTCGTCGCTCTCGACTTCTCCTCTACCGCCACCTCTCCGGCTCCATCCCCCCCGCCCTCTTCGCCCTCCCCTCGCTGCGAGAGCTCTCCCTCCGCGAGAACAACCTCACAGGAGAGGTCCTCCCGACCACTACTGCAGCAGCAGCATCTGCAGCCGCCGCACTGTCGCCGAGCTTGGAGAGTCTAGACGTGGGAGGGAATGCTCTCTTAAGGTCCATTCCAGCTGGCGTAGGTCTTCTGAGGGGCTGATGCTCCTGGCGCTGGACCAGAACCGGCTGGACGGCAGCTTGCCAAGGGAGCTCGGCGCGCTCTGGACGCTCACAAACCTGCACCTGCACGGGAACGCCCTCCTGGGGGGAATTCTCTACACTCGCTACCGACCCTACTGCCTTCAGTGCACCTGTCCTGTGGGGCCTCCGCGAGGTGTTCCCGCTGCTGACCCGAGTGGACGTCAGCAGCAACGAGGTCTCGGGTGACGCAGCCGTGCTCTTCCCTCTCCCTCAAGGACTCCTCATTCTCAACTTGTCGAACAACCGCCTCACGTGGGGCCCCGGCAGCAACGCCTCCTGGCACGCCTATTGCCTGGACCTCTTATCAGAATCCCAACCACTAGACCATTGGGATAAAAGGGCTTGTTTAAGTAGCGGGTCAGTGCGCCCATAACCCCCCAGGCCAACATGCCTGTAACCCTTCCCTAGGATCAATTGGGGATCACCAGTGGACCTCTGACACCCCCCCGCACTGGGATGCCCGAAGTGCATACACCGGGATTTGAACTCTAGACCGTCGCTCTGATACCATGTCAGAATCTCAACCACTAGAACATTGGGATAAAAGGGCTTGTTTAAGTAGCGGGTCAGTGCGCCCATAACCCCCCAGGCCAACATGCCTGTAACCCTTCCCTAGGATCAATCGGGGATCACCAGTGGACCTCTGACACATCTCACACAATCGCATCAGCACCCCACTGCAGGACCTCTTTGGGAATGACGACGGCCTCCGGTCGACAGTGCTGCTCCTGTCACACAACCAGCTCTCAGGACCCATCCCTGCCACGCTCCTGCGAGACAAAGTGCAAGGACATCTGGACCTCTCCCACAACCAGCTCACAGGTTCAATTCCTGCCATCATCAATTTATACTCCATGAAGACTCTTGACCTGTCATACAACCAGCTGTCCGACACCATTCCTCAACTGGATGGCTCCCTGATAAAATCTGACTTTTCCCACAACCGGCTATCCGGAAAAGTCCCGCCGGTGCCGCCTGCATTGATGCATCTGAACGTGAGTTGGAACCAGCTTGACGGGTTTGCCCGTGGCAGTACCAAGAGGGTACGGGGTTGAGAATCCTGGACGCGTCCCACAATACCATGGCTGGAAATCTGCCGGATTTGGGCAACAGTGACGGGCTTATGAGCCTGAATCATCTGGACCTCTCCTACAATGCGTTTACTTGCACTCTTGCAGAAAAGACTTACCCGTTTTTGGAGCAAGCAAAAAGCTCTACAGGAAGTGTGCAAAGTAGATGCAGGGTAGTGGTTCGGCTGAGCCACAATAGGCTCACTGGAAGCATCCCTACTTTCGTCTTCTCCTCGTGCCCCATACTGATCGACCTCTCACACAACGATTTCTCTGGCCCCATCCCAGTCCCTCCCCAAGGGAACAGCCAGAGCTTCTCCCTCGAATTTCTCTCCCACTTGGACCTCTCTTCCAATAAGCTCACAGGAAGCATCTCCAATGCTCTTGTCACCGGCCTCAAAGCCCTATCCCACTTGGATCTCTCCGAGAACCTGCTCTCGGGCTCGCTGCCCCACTCCCTCGCTGCTATTGCGCCCCTCACCCATCTGGACCTCTCACGCAACAAGCTCAAAGGCTCCCTGCCTGCCTTCTGCCAGGGAAAGCAGAGCCTCGCCTCTCTCCTCCTCTCCTCCAACACTTTCTCTGGTCCCCTCTCCTCCCTCCTCCCCTCCTCCTCCTCCTGCGCCTCCTCCCTCCTCTTGCTCGACGTCTCCACCAACCAGCTCTCCGGCTCGCTCCCCTCGTCACTCTCGCGCTTCACCGCTCTGCACTCCTTGCTAGCGGCGCGCAACCGCATGAGCGGCAGCATCCCTGCAAGGCTGGCTGTCAGCCCTGCAGGATCTGGATGTGTCGTGGAGCGGGCTGTCAGGCACCATCCCTGCGCTGATGCGTGCTGTTGTACCCTCCCTGCAGGTGCACCTCGCTAGCAACGCCCTCTCTGGCTCCGTCCCCCCCTCTCTCTCCGACCTGCCCACCTCCTGCTTCCGCCCCGGCAACCCCAAGCTCTGTGGGAAACCCCTGCCTGCCTCCAAGAAGCGGTCTTCCAAGCCCATGAAGGGGAGGTTGTAGGGTCTAGCGAGGCGGGAGGACTCTGCGCAGCTTCTGTGTTAATGCGAACTTGCCTGTGGGCTGCAGGCAAGGCACCCACTGTTATCTGTTCCCTAGTGTACCTGCACACCATAGAGTGTGACTAATTTGATCAATAGTGAACTTAAAAACAATCTCTGTGTTTTGGGCATTCCCAGATTACACCAGCAACCTTATTCACTAGCAACAGAATTAGGGTTTGGGAGGCGAGGGGAAGGAAGGGATGGGCATGGTAGGAAAGGGAAGGGAAGGATATGACAGAACGGTACTGCAATGGTGTCGTTTCTGCCCCACGAACTACGGCCCGTCACTTCAATTGGCCAAAATTAGAAGTATGGATCACCTTTGCAACACTCAACAAACGCGACTGCGATGCCTTGGTGATCCGATTTGAAGGCTCTACGATCTCTATCCCTGACTTGCCCATAGCCGCCCTAAAAATGATACCTGGGTTTAGCACTTGCAGTAGAAAACTCTTTTTTGTTTCAACAAGGGTCCCCAAAACTGGGCTTGGTACTGTATTCTGGTCACACAATATTTCTTTTAAATTGTCCAAAACTGATACGCATTTGAGGCGCATGCAAACACACATTCCACTGTTGGCAATAAAATTTAACTTGTGTAGCGTACGTCTCGAGAGACGTTAACGAGGATCCCGCCGCATGCTGCGGGTCTAACGAACAGACAAAGCTCTCGAGTACAGTACAGTACAGACTACAACATAATCCAACCCGGGGAAGGCACCTGGAATGCGACATGCATCTCGGCGGGAATTTACCGCCTCACCCATTTGCCCCTCCCTTCACTTTAGGGCGTGTTCGTTTTGCCAACTTCGGCCAAAAATCGGATTCGAGAATCGAACATGTGTCGCCTTCACTATTCAAACACCATTCTTTCAGAACGTTCAGTGGCGGTGCATATGGTCCACAGAAAGCGAACATGAAATGGTGCTCAAACGTGAAACACATCGAAATCGAATTTTCCGAGTCGTGTGCGAAGCACCGCCAGAGTCGCACAAGACACATGCGACAATAAAAGATGGGAAATGATCAGATTGGGGCCCCAAAGTGAGAAGAAACGAGAATGAATGAACTATGAAACAAGTGGGTACAAGTACTAACCCTAATTGGTGTCAGAATCCCAACCACTAGACCATTGGGATAAAAGGGCTTGTTTCAGTAGCGGGTGAGTGCGCCCATAACCCCCAAGACGAACGCGCCTGTAACCTTCTCCAGGATCAATCGGGCATCCACAGTGCAGATCTACTGACACCCCCCCACACTGGGAGGCCCAGGACTAAGCACAGCGGCTACCGTCTACATGTGCATACACCGGGAATCGAACCCGAGACCGCTCTGATACCATGTCAGAATCCCAACCACTAGACCATTGGGATAAAAGGCCTTGTTTCAGTAGCGGGTGAGTGCGCCCATAACCCCCCAAGCGAACGCGCCTATAACCCTCTCCAGGATCAATCGGGCATCCACAGTGCAGATCTACTGACAATTGAGTGTATATATATATATGTAAGGCTAGACAAGCAAGAGCAGGCATATATATATGTAACAGTACAAGCAAGGTCAAGAGGTGAGCAAGTGAGGCAAGACAGGCACAAGACCCAGCTGCGTGCAGAAGCGCTGATGATCACAAGGCGCAAGTGCCTTGGTGAAGACATCAGCAGTGTTGGCCTCAGAGGCCACGTACACAAGCCGCAACTGACCACGCTGCTGTAGCTCATAAGCAAGGAAGTAGCGGAGAGCAATGTGCTTTGTTCTGTGCTCCAGTCGCTGCTCTCGACACAAGGCCAGCATGGCCTTGTTGTCTACGTACAGAACTGGAGGAGAACGAGGCGGCTCTCCGAGGTCGGTCAGCAGATAGGTGAGCCAGCGAAGCTCCTATGCAGCCATGGCCCCTGGGTAGATCTCAGCCTCACAACTGGAGCCGAGAACAGAAGACGAGCGAGTAGCCCGCCACGAAATAGAGCCGGAACCAAGGCTGAAGGTGTAACCCTGTGACGACCGCTGCGTAGCCTGGTCATCAGCCCAAGAAGCGTCTGCGTGCCCAGTGAGCAACATAGCGTGCGAGAATGCTAAGAGGGTATGCAAGGTCAGGTCGTGTGCAGATCATCAGGTACATGAGGCATCCAACAAGCTCTGGGTATGGGCCACTCGACTCTACGGACTCATCCGAAGGCAGAGCTGAGAGCGAGAGGCGAGTAGGCAGAGGAGTGGCCTGAGGCGAGGAGTACGTGAAGCCGAAGCGCTGAAGGACCTGCTGCACCATGTGAGACAGAGTCAGGGTAATGGTGCGGCGTGCTCTGTCCTGGGTGATCTGCAAGCCAAGATAGCTGCGTCGTTCACCCAGGTCTGTGCACGTGTGTCTCTTCTGCAGCTCGAACTTCACGTGGGCGAGTCCAGCAGTGTCAGCTGTGGCAAAGACCAAGTCGTCGACGTACACGAGGATGCAGAACGGCGGCAAAGAAGTGTCGGTGCGCAGAAACAGCGACGGGTCGGCAGTAGAAGGAGCAAACCCAAGAGCCGCAAGCGTAGTCCTCAGTGTGTCGTGCCACTCACGTGGCGCCTGGCGGAGACCGTAGACTGGACGCCGGAGACTCCACTGGGTACCAGGAGGGAACGGCCCAGTGAAGCCAGGTGGGCGGCGCAGCCAGATTTCCTCGTGCAGGCTGCCCTGCAAGAAAGTTGTGCCGAAGTCAAGAGAGTGTAGCTCGTAGTCACGGTGAGCAGCAATGTGCAGCAGTACCCGAAGAGTGGTCATCTTCGGGGTGGGAGAGGAGGTCTGAAAGTAGTCAACTCCTTGCCGCTGTCTGAAGCCATGAGCCACGTAACGTGCCTTGGAGACAGGCGGAGAACCCGGCGGCCGCTTCACCCTGAAAATCCACATGCCACTGACGATTTTCGCCCCAGGCAGGGGAACCTCGTCAACGTAGGTGCCTGTGGACTTCCAGGAAGCCATCTGTGTGTCCATAGCTGCCTGCCAGTGAGAGGAGTAGGGACCCTCTATCGCCTCTGTGTAAGAGTGCGGAGTCGGGATGTCAAGTGCATCTGGGTCTCCCTCACGGGTAAGCAGTACGGACACGAGATGAGGTGAAGCAACAGCGAGACACTGGAACTCCTCCTGCCTGTCCTCAAGGACGTCCGTGCTAAGGGCACACTCACCCCCAATGGAAGGAGGACAGACAAACTCAGACTCAGCGACAAGACTAGCATCGTAGTCTAGGCGATAGCGAGCAGCAAAGTCGACGAGCTCAACAACTAGGGCAGACGCAGGAGTGGACTCAAAGGAAGGGTAAGTGACGACAGTAGCAAGGAGACGCGTGACAATAGGACTGGCAGCACGAAGAGAGTCCGACTCCGGGTCGGCAAGAGCAAGAAGAGAGGACTCAGGAGGAGAAGGCAAAGGGGCACGCAGAGGAGCAATGGACGGACGCATAGACATCCGGTGCGTGCCAGGGACATGAGGAGGACGCTGACGCGCACCACGACCATTAGTGCGAGCAGGACGGACAGGCGACGCAGGGCGAGACGCAGGCTCGCGACGCTCAACAAGACCTCCAGTAGGACTAGCGTAGGGAGAAGGAGCAGGTAAAGGGGAGGCCGGGTGTAACTGTAACTGTTACTGGACAGGCTATGGACACTCTAAGGGAGGAGGAGGACTAGTAGAAGGCGGAAGACCAAGAACCTGATGAAGGAGCGGAACGAAGTACGATCGAGGCCGCGCGGTGACTCCAGACGCAGCAGAGACAGCACCAGTACCCCCAGCAGGAGCACCAGCGCCAGCAGCACCTCCAGCTCCAGTACCCGTAACAGCTCCAGGAGCTCCAGCAGCACCAGTAGCACCCCCAGCAGGAGTCTCAGCGCCAACACCCTCAGCAGCACCAGCTCCAGTCGAACCCGCAGGCCCTGCAGCTACAGTACTCCCAGTACGAGCACCTCCGGGACCCGCGACAGCAGCACCCTCAGTAGCCGAAGAACCTCCAGCTCTAGCAGCACGCCTCCAGCGCCGAGCAAACCACTCGCGCAGCTCCTGTGGAGAGAGTGGCTCCCGCCGAGACGAAGCACCTGGAGAACCTCTAGGCACAGTACCGCCAGACGCGACACGAGCATGCACAGCTCCCGCAGGCTCCGCACCCCCAGGCTCCGCACCCCCAGGCTCAGCACCCCCAGTAGCAGCACCCCCAGGCTCAGCACCCCCAGGCGTAGCACCCCCAGGTTCAGCACCCCCAGGTGTAGCACCCCCAAGCTCATCACCCCTAGTCGCAGCACCCCCAGGCTCAGCACCCCCAGGCTCAACACCCCCAGGAGCAGTACCCTCAGCCTCAGCATCCTCTGAGTCAGCACCCCCAGGGTCAACACCCTCAGCATTATCAGAGTCACCAGCAACCTCGTTAGGCTCAACTGCGTCTACCTGGGATACACCTTAAGGGGCAGGACCCTGAGGGGGGAGGGGGTCTACCGGGGGGGGACCTGGCACAAGGAAGAGCGGTGGCGGAGGAAGGGACGGAGTGCGGTAGGGGAAGAGGCGGTTGTAGGGGACCGTCTCGTCAAACGTGACGTCCTGGGAGGACAGAATACGGCGAGAGGTGGGGTGGTAGAACTGCCACCTGGCGCATCAGGGGGGAAGCCAAGAAAGACGCAAGGAGCAGACAAACGCCGAGATCCCCAAACACGGAACGCAGACGCATCGCCAACCTTCCCCGTCCACAGCAAAGCTGGGGAGGTCTCCGGCAAGGAGACCCTGGGCTGAAGGTTGATCTGATGCGCCGCGTACCGAACCGCAAACGGCCACAGAAAATGGGGGGCAGCCGCATGCATCGTAGACGTACGAGCGACGTCCATGACCATGCCAATGCGGCGCTCAGCAATCCCATTTTGCTGTGGAGAGTCCGGAAGCGTGAAGGTCTGGCGGATGTCTCGTGCACGACAGTAGGCTCGCAGGAGGCCAGAGGAGAACTCTCCGCCTCT